TTTGACTTCTTGTAGTCCTAGGATGTAACATATAAGGTAATCCACCTCTCTTTTCATGGTATTCTTATACGTAGAATACAGCATTGTCTTTTCAGGAAATATTTATCGTTTTAATCTGAACTTTGTAATTTCTTTCATTGTTTACAATTTCTACAGTCAATTCGACCACTCCATATAGAACTGCACTCGCTGACGCCACTAGCTGGGAGTAGTCACGGCGATTGTAAAATAGCAGAACTTTTTTTTACAGCACATGATAGATATTCGTAAATCTTAAGTTAGTTGGCGGCTGATCACCGTCAATCGTTCCGTCCCGCACCCCCACCCCCATAACAAAGTACCCAAGACATTACGAGTGTAAGTTAATAGGTGTATCTCATAAGCTCTGTCTCCTTCAACCATCCAAAGTATCACAAAGAACCGCTTACATTTTCGTATTTTCTTAAATTATTAGTCTGCAACATGATTTTTGAATTTTTTATAAACGCGAAAGACATATTCAGTATAAAAATTGATTGTAAACTCTATCACACTAAGCAATTTTGGACATGAAATCGGGATTTTGATTGCATTATTTTTCATTTTTCTGTAATTAAACTTGATTGAAAGACGATCCAAGCTCTATCATTTACGAAAACGAGTTCGATCTACCCTACATTGTTTGGCGTATCTAGTTTTCACTGGGAAGCACGTTCATTCTTTTCTACAAATTCAGCTTCTGTCATTGTATGCTACAGCTCACGCTACCATGGCATTTTAGCCATATACTGGATCATCAAGGGTTATAAAACCCAGGAAACGAACAGGGAGATGCATGTTATGACCGAATATATTCACTTTGCTGTTAGTTAGAGAACTAGCCCTGGCTGCCATAAACCAGACATGAAATGGATAATGCGCCAGAGACTGCCGGAGACACACGTATACAGGTCGTTAAATACTGATAGTTGTAAGCAGGCTAGGGACGAAAATCGCAATGCTGCTTTTGCTACATGTGACAGAACATGCTGTAGTCAAGTACCAAAATGGAAGAGAGTACCATTGTACCACTGGTTGAATGTATGAATGAATGAATGAATGAAAACACGAAATTAGAGGCATACCGGCCACCATAAGGAGCCAGACCTCAAGCGTCGCCATTCTACCGAAGTTGAGTCACACACAAGCCAGAATCGCAACGATTTACGCTTGGAAAATCATGGTGTATCCACCAAGAGACAGAGATAGCCCAGTCCTAGGCCCCGAGATCCCGGCGCTAGAGCCCTCGTCGCTGACCGAGCCGTCCGTGTAACAGACTTGCCCACTCACTCCAGTGAGCCTCCGGTAGCCGGTATCCCACTCCTCCCTCGTTGGATACTCAACATTAAACATGCGGTTGAAGCGATACTTAGGGGTAACTACATCGCCCCTGCTCAGAAGGACAGGATCCTCCCTTTGCAGTTCGACCAGGATGGCAGTATGGCCCTTGACGGGATTCAAGAAGGCCCAGCTGGCCTCACTCCACAGTCGGTGTGCGAATACTCTCGCTTCTCCGCGGAACACTAGGTCCAACGGCGGGAGATCCAGCAAAGCTTCCATTGCACTCGCTGGCGTTGTCGGCACTGCGCCTGTAATGGCTAATACAGGCCAATCGCTGAATTTTATTGAATTTGGCCTTATTCGTCTCAGTTCCAATACAAGGCCACCAAACCAAGGAGCCGTACAAGAGACATGCACGCACTATTGTCGTGTAGAGCCAGTAAACCGCGTTGGATTTGAGCCCCCACCTAACACCAACAACGCGTACAAGCTCACAATGATAGATATTTTACTGACTGGGATAGAACTAATATAGTCCCAAAGAAGGTCGGCAAGACAAGCCCGTCAAGCCTGCTTCTCCTAGTGAATAGGATCAGCTCGGTCTTTCCAGCGTTGACCGAAAGATCCACTTCCCTACACCATGATTCCTCAGCGCGCAAAGCGCCTTGCATAATCTCAGAAACTGTTCCACAAAAACGACCTCTAACGTCATCAGCATATGCTTGCACGTAGACACCCGCACTGCTTAGCCTAACGACGAGTTCATTCACCACGAGGCACCACAGTAAGGGTGACAGAACTTCGCCATGTGGGCAGCCTCGAGCTACGCAGCATAGCTGCTGCCGGAGACAGACATATACAGGTCGTTAAGTACTGATAGTTGTAAACAGGCTAGAGATGAAAATCGCAATGCTGCATTTGCTGCATGTGACAGAACATGCTGTAGTCAAGTGCCATAATGGAAGAGAGTACCATTGTACGCCACTGGTTTCGCAGCGTGTCTTTATGGACATGTGCGTGGAGCACACATTATTCAAGTACACTCTGTTTACAGTGGCTTAGGTGTGATTGCTATTCTCGTGAACCGTGCCTAATTCATAAGATGGTACTCGAATACTTAAAATCCAGGTATTTTTTACCATTTTTGTTCAGGATTCTCCATTATTTTATTATACTGAGGCAGCTGCGTAGGTACATCGACCACTATGAGGAGCATAAACAGATGCCTAATGCTCCTCGTCCTCGAGCAGATTGTTCCATAATCTCGACAGCCTAGAAACAAAGGAAGACGCCTGGCGAGTTCTTCTCAATACGCATCGACTTTATACAGGAAAGCAGTAATGGCTCATTTTCACAATCGGCGATTACAAAAGACTACGCGCCACCACGATCGTGTAGAGGGCATACTCGGCTGTACTCGCCGATCATCGTCTACGATCGCCTTTAACCCGTGAATTGTCGGTTTTTCGGACACGCATCAAAGGGAATCGCCGGGTCATATTGATGCTTGCACGATGATCGTGCCTATTATGAACGATCACAGGATTATCGCCGATAGTGCAGTGCAGGCATAATGAGCAAAGCTCGCTGGCATGGCGATCTGAGCGCACTAAATTTCCGACAGTCCGTCGTTCGTTAGCGTTAGACAAGTGTAGCTAGTCCTCCTCTCACCAGCGTCGAGTATGGATGCGTGGCCGAAGGTCTGAAGTGCTGAGTGATCGGCACAGATATCATGTATCTTGAAAAGTGACGTCATATCGATTTCTTTGACATTATACTGTTTTTTTACATTATGTAGGTTTTTCTACAAGATGTTAATTCAACACTTAGTTGTACGTGTTGCCTATACGTCATGAGGCTTGTTATCAATCTTTGGCTCTGATGTGATGTAAAATCGCTTCTGAGATGGCATTACTGGAGGTCTAAGCTGAAAGTTGTACGTGTTGATGGTAATTACATTGGGTTCTTGTCTCAAATACACTTAATTGAGATTCAAAGCTAGAAATTAGTTGCGCAGCTATCCATTTTGGAAATTACATATACAAATTACAAATACAACATAAAAATAACCCGTCGGGCACAGCCAATAGATATACTTAGTTGGCAGCATATTCAGTAATGATTCTCTCACACAGCAAATATCACTGATTTCATACACATGCAGACCCATATACATAATCATACAGATGCGATCTTGCTATTCAACCAACTTTCTTCTCAGAGATATAAACTACAGACAAGGGCCACTCGGCCTCACAAAACATTTGCAACCAATAATGCGTATAGTTAGGTTGAGTGATTCCTCCATAGATGGACGTTCACAACGATCCTAGTAAGCAAACGTGGAATGACTATCTGCGTTCTAAAAACTACCTAGTTTGCAAGATGACATCTTATAGGTTTTCTTTGACGTTTTATAGGTTTTTTACATGATACCCGTGCCGGTAGCAAATCGTTTCTTGGCAGAGCTCGGCCATCTTGCGAATTTACGCCAGGGCGCTTAGTCTTAGTCAAGGTATAGTATAGTCTTGGAATCATTAGACTGCACCATATGGATACGTACCCAAACAGTGACCATTTTCAGATCTCTCCGCAGGGCGCAAATCGCTACTCTGAATGACTGCTTGTGAGGTGCTGAAACAGAAAGTCAAAGAAGACGTCGGACGATGATGTTGCCATTTACAGCAGGAATCTAAACCGATTAAAAAAATATTTGAAATTGATATAATAGTGGAACAGAGATTACCAACAACAGTGATAGGCCCAGTGTGAATTAGTTTTGTGGATAAATTATAGCGGAGCTATGAAAGTAGCCAAAACAAGGATGCCTTCTTCGACCGTCATGCATTCACAAGTACCTCTTGCCAGACCTTTTTTATAAACAAGAGGGAATGGTGGTGTGATTCCTCTTTCCTTCTTTTTTAAAAAAAAATTAATTAATAAATTAACAAAATACTATAAATGAAATCAAGGTACACTCCCCTCGTTATTAAAGTAATGTACTGTTCTCTAACATTTTTGGCAGCAGTTGCATTATTTCCAGAGTTTCGTCGATATAATGGCTCCCTGTTTGAATCATGTGATGTTAAACCTGATGTAATAGTTCCATCTTCTAGGTTTTCGTGATCGAAACATTCTGCAGAACTATATGAATTCGGAACGAAGAGTGGTTACAAGTATTGAACAAAATCTGTCCGTGCCTCGATATAATTCTAATCTTTATAGGAAAAATAACAGAGCTGTATCGAAAAAAAGAAGTAAAAAGCAAATATTTCTTGATGGGCTTGCTTGCCATACAATTCAATTTGTGGGAATAATGGGCTTGTACCACATATGTTACCAACAGGATTCCATAACTTTTTGTTTTTTTTATACTCCAACTACCACGAAGGCCTAAGGCCTAAACACCCAATGGGCACCGTGGGGCTATAGGGGGATACAGGGGAAAGGGGGACGCCACACGGACTCTGGCGAGGGAACACGTGTGCATGCAACATGCACACATTCTGGCTCCGCCTCCGCCAGGTGGTACCTCCACGTTCGACAGTCAGAGACCGTCTACCACCTACGGACAATCACAACATCCATAGCCAAAAGAAAAATTTCTCCTGGGACGGGACTCGAACCCGCGGCTGCCTTAGCTTCACATGTTTCTGGAATAATAACACCCAACGCCTGGGGTGATATTATTGTTGTAAACTTTAGGTCTTCGTAACTGCTTCCAGTATCTTTTTAATAAGTGGAGTAACCATCGATAGAAGCTTCAAGTAAGTTTCTTCGTTCATACGCAGGTAGTTATGCCAGTCTTTGGGTGCAAATTTCAATTCGTTCACTAAATTGATGTGTGAATAATGTTCTCTTTTCATTAACCAGTCCTTACACCATATAGCTCGATGCCTTTTAGATCTTTTCAGTTTTTTTGTAGCAACTATCAAGCCAACTATCGTCATAGCATCATGAATGGATGCCATCGTCGCAACACAACTCGCCTGCACCATGACTTTCTCAAAAAATGATCGGTCAAGTATACTTGCGCTGTGTGTGCTCGAGATAGGATGATGTGTGTTTGCGCAAATCTAAGCTTGCACAAGTATATCGTTACGTGTATGGCTGGCATAAGGGTCAGCCAATGCAAAACAGCTGTCTAGTGGCGTGCAAATTTAGGCGTTAGGTCAATAAAGCGGATTAAGAGCGCCAGTGACTTGAGGCGGATTAGACCACAAATCCCCGAGGTGTTAATTGGAACTTGTTTTGCCAGGCCATCCACACAATAGAAAATATCTCAAAGTAATGACAAAAGCTGATTAATTGTACACAGAGAGCCAAATAAAACAAGATATTTAAAAAAGAATCACAATATATTATCAAAGCAAGCAGCACATATGTTCCACCACTGGACTGCGAGTTAAAAGAAAAAAGGATATTATTTAAAAGTATCTGACAATAACAGTATTACTAGACCGTGATAATTAACCCTGAAAAAAGTTTTCCAGTGTACACGTGCGAAGGCTTTACAAATATTTTAACGCCTAAACCTAAACTTATCTGGATAATGGTCTTCTTCCAGTTACAGCTCTAGGGTCAGCTAATATGTCTTCAGTTCACAAACACTCAGGGTGAAAAACCAGTGGCCAGCAGTGTGATGAACGTCACAAGGTAATGGCTGCTTGCCTCGCTTACCAAGATTTACGGTATAAAAAAAATCCTAGAGAGAGAGAAAGAGTGCTTGAAAATCTACTCTCTTTCTCTGACTGAGACAGAACTACACATTTAAACACTCAAAACTTGAAGAAAAATCCATGTACATTATCTTTTACAAGAAAATTAAAGCAAGGGCAAGAAAAGATAAACATGTACTAAAGTGATATACCCTCAGAAAGTTATCCCTTGTTCTAAAATACTGATATGGTCAAAATCAATGTAATGTAATGCCCAATAGAAGGTGACATGTAGGCACTACTCTATATTTGAATACGAAAGATGCCAAACAAAATCAAGTACACTGTAAGAATTTCAGTCACCAACAATCAATATATTAATATCCTTAAAATACCCAATTAAAATTGTATTTTACCTGTTCACATCAGGGTTTTTTGTCAGCAAAATCGGCTGCGAAACAAAGCTGGAGGAGTGTGAATGGTGGCTCTCCCCAATGCCTTATCACTAAAAGGAAGCAGTTATTGAACAAACTTGTTCAGGACTTACATTAATGGACGTGGTCCGATGGTATACACGAAACAACTTACCGGTGAAGGTTAAAATGCCATTAGAAAATGGACGGGGTAGCACCCAAACCAAAACAACTAAACGTAAGTTACAAAATAACTACTCCATAATCTGGTGTTTGGGCGTTAATATCCCAGAATCTGAAAATTATTACCAACGAAACAACCCACGCACAACCAAAACCTCACCGGAAAGCAAAAGAAATGTGGCGCTACCTCGCCTGTACACGCAAGCTTGTTTTTAAAACATGGTATCTTGATAGGAAAAGAACGTATCTTGATAGGTAAAGAAGGTATCTTGATAGGAAAGCAAATATCCCCATACAGATTTTCAAAAGACGGTATCTTGATACGAAAGCAAATATTCCTATTCCGCTAGTAAGTGTAGAAATCACAAAGTCGCACTGGTTGCTAATGGGCGGAACCAACTCTACGAGAGGCCATCGATATTGTATGAGGAAATTTCTGAGATAGTCGTTGATAATACTCTAAGTGACATATAAATCCGAACACCCAGTTTAAATGGTTTTATTTTGATAAAAGTTGGTGAATGTATGTATTTATCTTACTGTAAATAACAAGTGAAAAAATTTTCAGCCTTATCAGTTGGACATTCCGGTTTTTAAACTGCTCCACAGTTTTTTGTTGAAAGACATATTCATCACAATGTTGGAGTTATGGTTTGGGGTGCTATAGCTTATGGTTCCAGGTCACCTTTAATCTTCATCAGAGGTAACATGAACGCGCAGCGTTATATTTTCGAATATAATTCTTAAAACAGTTCTCTGTACCATACCTTAGATGCGGCTCAATTAAGGCATTAGTGTGCAAATAGTTCATTGCATATGGGCACTGTGAGCGTCACAAAAAACGTTATCTATGGAATGACAACAACACGCTCAATGATCATGCTGCAAGTCAGTTCCCCATCATGCTTTGTTGGTTGCAGAATGCCGAAATAGTGGAGTATATCTCTGGGAAGACGACAGGTGACAGAAAGAAAATTGGTTGAGTATCAAGATCGCATCTGGATGATACTGTGGTGATTGTGTGTATGAAATCAGTAATACTTGTTATGTGAGAAAATTATTGCTGAATATGCTGCCCATCAAGCATACCTATTAACTGTGCCATACGGATTATTTGTGTTATCGTTTCTGAAGGGAGGTCATGTTCAAAGTTATAAATTTCGTTTCTCTCCAATTTTTTTGCGTTTTCATAAACTTTGAGAACGTTACGCCAGCGTTGTATGAAATTAAGCCACATCACAGAAAAATTAGGAGTGACGTATCACACAAGAAACATTTTCGTATTGTCTCACATCTAGGCGCTGACTTGTATTTAGTACATAACATCGTAAAATAAATTTCTATAAAATTTAAATGATTGGACATAAAAAATAATGTGAAATGCAATAAATTTCATGTTTCACAAAAATTCCAGTCTGTAGCATACTTTCTCACCTGTTCATTTGAATATACTTCACCAACCAAGGATTTTCTTTTCTCATTTCTCTCATTTCAAAAAAACCGTTATAATGTCACTTTTCAAGATACGTAATAGCCCTTCGGATACCTTACGGTGAAAGTAGGAAACCCACCTGCAAGGAAGGAAGCTTCTGATGCACTTCTCCATCACGTTGTTCATCTCAGAAAGTAGAGATTCTACACAATGTTACCGTAAGGTCAACAGTTTAACAAATGTTGAATGTCATAGTGACGAGTAACATCATAGAGGCTCTTATTACTCCTTATAAGAAATAAAAGATGTATTTCATTTTTTCGACAGCTTGATGGTTCTCAAAAGGGTTCGTAGCAAATCATTCGCGCGGCAGGCTCCACATGGAACGTATGCTGCTGTCTTGTCAATCCACAACGTTTCACTTGGAGATAGTTCTGCAATAATTACCTTTGATCAAAAGTACAAATTTTGATTTGCCTTAAATTTTTTAACTTTAACTTTTGTAAACAGGTGTAGAAAGGTAATAAATGTATTGAATGAAATTATTTGTGACGGATTTAATATTAGGTGTTATTCCTCTGCTGTCTGTCATGTACAAAGAACATTCCTTCGTAATGTATCATTTCTATATATGTACATATTCAATTTCCTTTCTTAAATGCAAACGGAAACGGTTCCAGTATATACGTGGACGGTGTGTTTGTAGTTCGGTGTTATCTTTGTAATTCACGATTTGGCCTCTATAATGAAAGCCCCAAATACAAAATGCTCTCAGAATTGAAAACAGCTCTCTATCTTTGTGATAGAAAATGAATATTATTTGAAAATACGTTGAAACGGAAACATACTCTCGTTCTTTTCTACCTTATTCCAGTTGCCAGGAAAATATAGCTTATTTCGTAAAATTACCTGATCCAGAGTTCAAAGTAATAATATTTGTTTTCATGAATCACATAGCAGATATACATGCAAATCCCACTGACTGCATTTCACTATTTCAGTTCTATACCTGATAGCAAACGAGATTTAAAGCAGACATCATAACGATAAACAGAGTTTTGTTTGCAAGGTATACTGAATCATATAGTACAGTATGTATGCCACATTTGTGTGATATGAATCCTGTAATTGCGTAAAATAGGCAGTCCGATTAAAAAAAATGTTCACATGTACACGCGTAAAATTCCAGAATTCCAGTTGTGTGTGCTGAGTGATTTATTAAAATAATTGGATGCGCGATAGCAGCATCCAGTGTTAATTAAAAAAAACAAATAACTATTTGATTGGTATATCAAAGTTACTTTATACTTATTTATTTGTCAGTTCCCAAACAGGATAATTAAATTAGTCATGCAACCAGCTACTGGTAGAAATAATTTGTAAACAATATCATATCAGGGAGGAGTTGCATAAAGCAAAAAGCAACATTACCACTTTTTCTCCATTTATTAAATATACACGAGTTTCTATCATTAAGTCAATCATTCACCAGCAGCAAGTGGCATCATGTCTTTTATTTTTCCAATGTTAATAAAAGGACACGAACGTTTGTAAATGCAGGCCAGTGATATGACGCCTATGAAAATTTGTAGAAAGAATCTTTGAAGTGGAGGCAGCTAGATATTTCCACGCTTTCTGCGGATGTAGAACAGAAATATACAGTGTCACTTTTTTCACTCTCGATCGTTGTTTCCTCAGATTCATCCATATCCGCATGTATGGGCCATGTGTATCTACTTTTGTGGTTGCATATGTGCATTCGTTTCGGACTTGATGCAGCCAACAAGCAGGAATACGTATTGCTCGGGTTATCTATCCTATTTTCTTCTCGAATCCACCTTCCCTCTTTTTGCGTATTTTCCCTATCATTTTCCTATTTTTTATATATATTTTTCTCCGCATGATCATTTTCTCTCTATATATATATATATTTGAAATCAGGCAGGTTTGCAGGGAAACACTAAAAGCTAGGTGTGTTTTTTTTCATATACACTGGCTGCATTTTGCTATTTATTAGCTTTATACAGCAAACCATCAGCGAAGCTGAAAATTCCTGCGGGAGTAGGTAGGCTAAGGTAATTACAGAGACCGATGAATACAGCTTGTAGACCCAGCAAAATGATTATATTTGAATGCAATTCGGATACCATAATGCATAAGCAAGAGGAACTTGAGAACCCTATCTTCTAGCAAGGTAATTGACCTCCCCACAATGCTAGGTAGCTTACGTTCAGTAAACGGTCAAGTCAACCTCCTCCCTTGGCTTTCCAGATCTCCAGACCATTACCCAGTTAAACTATGTTGGATATCAT